TATATATATATATATATATTATTATATAATTATATGTAAGACACACACACACACACACACACACACACACACACACACACACACACACACACACACACACACACACACATATATATATACATATATATATATATATATATATATATATATATATATATATATATATATATATATATATATATATATATATATGGGGGGGTTCACTTCACTCTGAAAAAAGATTAAGTTAAGAACGTTCTTATAATTTAACGTTATAGTGTAATGAATATAATAAAGCCTTTTACTCAATCTTCTAATGTTCGACTTCAACTCATCCGCCGTTTCCATCACCGCTCACAGACGCTTTATGGTTTCTCGTTAATGTTGTTTGGTGCGTCTGCCTTCAGTATGGCTTGATGAATTCCGGGACGCAAATGAGTCATCTCTTCTCATCACACACAATCGGACTGTGCGAGGCTACTTCACTGGAACATACAGCGAGCGACGTGAGGTGAGGCGAGATGAAAGGCAAGCGCCACGAAACGCGCGCGCGCAGCACACACACACACAAACACACACACACACACACACACACACACACACACACACACACACACACACACACACACACACACACACACACACACACCACACACACACACACAGCACACCACACACACACACACACACACACACACACACACACACACACACACACACACACACACACACACACCACACACACACACACACACACACACACACACCACACACACACAACACACACACACACACACACACACACACACACACAACGCGCGCACACACAGACACACACACACACGTACGGCACGCACGCACGCACACACACACACACACACACGCACGCACGCACGCACACACACATCACACACACAAGCAGACAAACACACACACACGGCACTTCAATCGGCCTTTGATAAAGCTCGTGTGCTGCATCATGTTACCTTACTGTATGTATAAATACAGTCTACATTATATCTCAAATGCGTTGGAATGATAGTTCATTCTAATATCATCAGCATGCTCATACTATTGTACATATCATTGTGCAAACATCAAACCTAAATAGATGGATAACTAATGCAGTAAAACATTCTTTTCCCAAATGTGATACAAAAATCCTGATTTATTATGAAGTGATATATTGCTAGCCTTTCAAAACAAGAATACTAAAATCACAAATCCTCTGGATGTCCGCTCGTTCAGTCTTTCCACGACGAAATCCTCTTAACGGGCTGCGAATATAAGCAAGAGTCCATGCAGATGCACGGCCATGCATGCAATACAAGCATAAATGTATTATCTGTATGGCAAAATATTTGTTGACATCGCTACCTTCGTCGGGTGTGATATACAGTACGACATTTAACGCAATAAATTAATTGGCAGTGTTCGTATTTCTGTGCGCGAGCGAGTCACATCACTGAAACTTCCGGCTTTGTACAGTTCAACGCTTCACTTCATCTCCAGGTGCTTCAGTATTGTTTATAACTGTTGTTCTATACGTCTCACCGACTTCCGTCTCTAAAAACATCATGCGCTTTTCTGCCTTTCTTATTTAAACATTAAAGCCATTTCCAAGAACATGGACTCTCTTGTGGACCCCCAGAAGAGTATATTTAAGATGATATAAGTTTGCCTTTGCCAAATCAAAGTTCATGGCATTTTTTCATAATGATCGTGTAATGTAAACATGAAAATCTAGGTGTAATTAATTTCCATTTATCTCGTGTAGTGTAGCGCGCTATTACATTTGCACAGAAATCAACGACTTAATAAATATAACTCGTGACATCATACTTGATTTTGTGTTCCCAACAAGCTTGAAGTTTTCTTCTATTTCAGCCCTTCTCCATTAAGTCATTCGTGATATAGTCGTGTACACTTTTCAGTCTTGCACTCTCTTGCAAATATAGGGATATACGTGATGTGGTAAGCTGATCTAATGTAAATATACTAGGTAACTAACAAACATGGGTGTTGCATGCAAGAGTACAGTATACGAATATCCTTTGAAAGATTCCTCATAAGTGCAAAATCAGTATCAATGCTATAATAGGAAATTTGTAATATCTGTGAACATTTGGCCTTATATTTGCAATTAACCTCCGCATCCAACGCACAAGTCCACCCAACTGTCACCTCCTTGTAATCTGGCGAAGCCTATCACGATTCTACTATTTTCACAATTGATCCTTTGCCACCTTTGGTATTTAAATTTACATCATTCCACACTATAATCTTGATAAGGTAAAGATCGACATCAAGATTTTTTCAAGATAAGGATGTTTTTGAAAAACGAAATAGCATTTACAAGATATAGTGTGAATGATGTACAATTTAAATACCAAAGGTGGCAAGGATCAATGTGAAAATAGTAGATCGTATAGGCTCGGCCAGATACAAAGGAGGTGACAGTTGGGTGGACTTGTGCGTTGGATGCGGAGGTTAATTGCAAATATAAGGCCAAATGTTCACAGATATTACAAATTTCCTATTATAGCATTGATACTGATTTTGCACTTATGAGGAATCTTTCAAAGGATATTCGTATACTGTACTCTTGCATGCAACACCCATGTTTGTTAGTTACCTAGTATATTTACATTAGATCATAGCTTACCACATCACGTATATCCCTATATTTGCAAGAGAGTGCAAGACTGAAAAGTGTACACGACTATATCACGAATGACTTAATGGAGAAGGGCTGAAATAGAAGAAAACTTCAAGCTTGTTGGGAACACAAAATCAAGTATGATGTCACGAGTTATATTTATTAAGTCGTTGATTTCTGTGCAAATGTAATAGCGCGCTACACTACACGAGATAAATGGAAATTAATTACACCTAGATTTTCATGTTTACATTACACGATCATTATGAAAAAATGCCATGAACTTTGATTTGGCAAAGGCAAACTTATATCATCTTAAATATACTCTTCTGGGGGTCCACAAGAGAGTCCATGTTCTTGGAAATGGCTTTAATGTTAAATAAGAAAGGCAGAAAAGCGCATGATGTTTTTAGAGACGGAAGTCGGTGAGACGTATAGAACAACAGTTATAAACAATACTGAAGCACCTGGAGATGAAGTGAAGCGTTGAACTGTACAAAGCCGGAAGTTCAGTGATGTGACTCGCTCGCGCACAGAAATACGAACACTGCCAATTAATTTATTGCGTTAAATGTCGTACTGTATATCACACCCGACGAAGGTAGCGATGTCAACAAATATTTTGCCATACAGATAATACATTTATGCTTGTATTGCATGCATGGCCGTGCATCTGCATGGACTCTTGCTTATATTCGCAGCCGGTTAAGAGGATTTCGTCGTGGAAAGACTGAACGAGCGGACATCCAGAGGATTTGTGATTTTAGTATTCTTGTTTTGAAAGGCTAGCAATATATCACTTCATAATAAATCAGGATTTTGTATCACATTTGGGAAAAGAATGTTTTACTGCATTAGTTATCCATCTATTTAGGTTTGATGTTTGCACAATGATATGTACAATAGTATGAGCATGCTGATGATATTAGAATGAACTATCATTCCAACGCATTTGAGATATAATGTAGACTGTATTTATACATACAGTAAGGTAACATGATGCAGCACACGAGCTTTATCAAAGGCCGATTGAAGTGCCGTGTGTGTGTGTTTGTGCTTGTGTGTGTGTCTGTCTGTGCGTGTGTGTATGTGTGTGTGCGTGCGTGCGTGCGTGTGTGTGTGTGTGTGTGCGTGCGTGCGTGCGTGCGTACGTGTGTGTGTGTGTGTCTGTGTGTGCGCGCGTGTTGTGTGCGCGTGCGTGTGTGTGTGTGTGTCTGAGTGCGTGTGTGTGTGTGTGTGTGTGCCTGTGTGTGTGCGTGTGTGTGTGCGTGTGTGTATGTGCGTGTGTGTGTGTGTGTGTGTGGTGTGTGTGTGTGTGTGTGTGTGTGTGTGTGTGTGTGTGTGTGTTGTGTGTGTATGTGTCTGTGTGTGTGTGTGTGTGTGTGTGTGTGTGTGTGTGTGTGTGTGTGTGTGTGTGTGTGTGTGTGTGTGTGTGTGTGTGTGTGTGTGACTGGCGCGCGCGCGTTTCGTGGCGCTTGCCTTTCATCTCGCCTCACCTCACGTCGCTCGCTGTATGTTCAGTGAAGTAGCCTCGCACAGTCCGATTGTGTGTGATGAGAAGAGATGACTCATTTGCGGTCCCGGAATTCATCAAGCCATACTGAAGGCAGACGCACCAAACAACATTAACGAGAAACCATAAAGCGTCTGTGAGCGGTGATGGAAACGGCGGATGAGTTGAAGTCGAACATTAGAAGATTGAGTAAAAGGCTTTATTATATTCATTACACTATAACGTTAAATTATAAGAACGTTCTTAACTTAATCTTTTTTCAGAGTGAAGTGAACCCCCCCATATATATATATATATATATATATAT